TGTAAAGGTGTAAAGGAGCGGGGGTGTGCATGTATGTGTGTGTGTGTGTGTGTGTGTGTGTGTGTGTGTGTGTGTATGTGTGTGTGTGTGTGTGTGTGTATGTAGTTATGAGCCGTAGTAGAAATGCGGGCATGCTCCGAATATATGTATATATGTTTCACACACAGGTATAGGGCTTCGATTGAGGCGGCCCGACTGAAACTAGGTGTAGGTTCGAACGACCCGGAAACCGCAACCGATGGATATTACGTAAATGATTATTACGATAATTGTTGCGATGCGATGCAAACGTAGTAATTCACGAGAGTCGCAACGATTGATATATTCCCCGCGGAAGCAACTGATATAAGATTTGTGTAACGATATAAAATAAATAAATATATGATAGAGAAGTGTATGTATGTGTGTGTGTGTGTGTGTGTGTGTGTGTGTGTGTGTGTGTGTGTGTGTGTGTGTGTGTGAATCGATGGAACACGCGAGTTTGTGTGTGTGTGTGTGTGTGTGTGTGTGTGTGTGTGTGTGTGTGTGTGTGTGTGTGTGTGTGTGTGTGTGTGTGTGTGTGTGTGTGTGTGTGTGTGTGTGTGTGTGTGTGTGTGTGTGTGTGTGTGTGTGTGTGTGTGTGTGTGTGTGTGTGTGTGTGTGTGTGTGTGTGTGTGTGTGTGTGTGTGTGTGTGTGTGTGTGTGTGTGTGTGTGTGTGTGTGTGTGTGTGTGTGTGTGTGTGTGTGTGTGTGTGTGTGTGTGTGTGTGTGTGTGTGTGTGTGTGTGTGTGTGTGTGTGTGTGTGTGTGTGTGTGTGTGTGTGTGTGTGTGTGTGTGTGTGTGTGTGTGTGTGTGTGTGTGTGTGTGTGTGTGTGTGTGTGTGTGTGTGTGTGTGTGTGTGTGTGTGTGTGTGTGTGTGTGTGTGTGTGTGTGTGTGTGTGTGTGTGTGATGAGAGAGGGGTGTGTATGTGTGTGTGTGTGTGTGTGTGTGTGTGTGTGTGTGTGTGTGTGTGTGTGTGTGTGTGTGTGTGTGTGTGTGTGAATCGATGGAACACGCGAGTTTATCCGCTCCTCCGTCAGAGAGTCCGTATAGTTGACAGCTTCGTTACACTTCCGGTGCACTTCCGCATAGCATTGCGAGGAGACGCGCGTGCACCTGCGATCGCGAAAACGCATGCGATTCTTGCGTGTCGCACCGCTTATTCAGAACGGAATAAAAATCAATCGTTACTCTGATGCGGATAAAGACGTAACAATTGTACACACAAAGACTATCGTCATCAAGAAAGAAGAGAGAGAGAGAGAGAGAGAGAGAGAGAGAGAGAGAGAGAGAGAGAGAGAGACATTGCAAAGAAATTATATAAAAAGAGGAATAATGGAAGGGGAATGTAAAAACAAATATAACGACGACGCATCTCGATTCTGATCGAAGCGCAAAGTTGCAGAAATATATAAGAGTGGATTGGAATGACGTTTTATGTTCCAAGATAGCTTTTAGAGAGGAAGACGGACGATATATAATAAAAAGTAAAATAAAAAGAGAGGCAGGGATAGGCGACTCCCCCGTGAACCCCTCCGCGTCCCTTCGGCAACATTTTTCCCTGTCCGTCCCCTCGTTCCCTTCTATATCTCCACAAGGAACTGCTCCGACAATGGCACTTTTTTTCCGACGACGATGTCCGAAGGTCGAAACGCGAGACGAGCCGATGTCGAATGGAAGAGCAGCGACAAGGCAAAATGGCGAGCTCTCGCGTTCACGTAACCGAGAGAGAGAGAGAGAGAGAGAGTGAGGGGGGGGGGAGAAGTATTAATTTGTCAATAAATTATCTTTTTCTTAGCACAACGAAATGGCAATAGTTTTTGAATAATAAGCGAATGAAAATGCGCTTGTGGAAGCTAGGGACCTTCGAAAGACAATATTTCCCCTCCAGAGTATTACATTGAATATGACGTCTCTCTTCCGGAAAATCTTGAGAGAACAAACCTTTCGTTTCTCTCTCCTTTTTGCTTCATTATGCATTATTTATCTTACTGAGTTTGCCACTGCATTGCGTCATCTCGTAATCTACTTATCTATAAAAGTGGAACGCGGACCCCTTCGCATCGTGGAAAGTGCGGCTGTTTGAAGTATTAACTTGTCGTTGTTATTCTGAGAACAAGTCGTCTCGAAGCTCGTATTCGTATACACGAACAGTGAGTAACGTCCGTCACTAGGATCGATACCGTGATAATGTCTGGAATTATTGATCAGCATACATTAATGGCTTCTTCTCGCATCGTGAAAATCAAGGATAACGAGGGGGAATCCAGGATACGTGAACTTTTATACAAGAGACACACAATGGTAGTGTTTTGAAAGTGACACGGGGAAAAAAATTAATAAAGAAACTTTTTTTTATTCTTTTACATTTTTCTTTATGTAATTTATAAATTATAAAAATATTCCCTCACGCGCTTCATTAACTTGTTCTATCGAATTCGAACAAAATTAACAAAATAGTGTCACAAACGAAGAACTATTTTGCCGCACACACATATATATTTAATGTAACATATTACAGAGTTATATATTTTTGTTCATATCAGCTGTGCTCGCGCGCGCGCGCCACCGCATTTTGTAAACAAAGCAGTCGGGCTCTCTTTCCAGAATCTCTCTCTCTCTCTCTCTCACATACACATACATAACATTGTATATATGGCATTCTTATACATACACTTATAATCTCTCTCTCTCTTTCTCTCTGAGTGTCTCACGCAATCTATAATTAAAAACAATAAATTATTAAAATTATTAAATTATTAAAAATAATAAATCAATTATCTAATAAATATTTCTTATCTAATATTGATCGCACAGACGACACGTGAGAATTATTTGTCTCCCTCTCCCTCTCCCTCTCTCTATTTAGTATTAGCCATTTTTAATGTTAATTATAATAAAATTATAATAAAATTTCCTGCTAACTGTTAATTTTCTGAAAATAATTAAAAAAACAAGGTAGTATATATTAAAAATGTATAACTTTGTCTTTATTATTTGCTTTCATTATATTGTCTTATAAGACACAATATAATTATTTTATTTTATAATACAGACATAAATCAATAAATTTTCAGAAAATTAACCGTTAGCAGCAACTTTGGTAAATATAGCGAATAGGGGACCCAAACTTACAAAGTACATGCTACATTGTAAAGCAGCGGAAGAGGAGGGGGGGGGGAGGGGGGGGGGGGGGGGGGGGGGGAGGGGGGCAGGAGAATCCTCCCTATACATCGTGCTAAATCTAGCGCGCGCTTTTTCTCGAGTGCTCACAAGGTCGATTAATTACGCTCGTGTCTTTTTGCGGTCGTCTCTCATTATAGAGGTTCTTCTCTCTCCTGCATACACGTTTTGCGCCTTTAACTTGTGTGCGCTATGGAAATGAATAAAAGAAGAAAACTAAAGAGAAGATTCAAAGTTACGACGGAAGTTATATATATATATATACGGCCGCGAGAAGAGACGGCATATAAACAAGATAATCTCCAATGAAGAGAAGCATATTTCTTACAATTAGAGGCGGAGAGTTGCGGAATAAAAAATTACGTTCGTGCTTGCATAACGTTAGTAACGAGATACATCAGCTTTACGACTCGCAATACCAATCACGGTGCGAATTCGCGTTTAAAACAATCGGCGCATTGCTTTTTATGCTTCATGCTTTCAAAAAAAAAATCATTAAGATATACATATAAATTATATATAGATAAAAAATGACAATGTAATATTAATAGGTAAATTTGCGCGCCAAAAAAAGATCTTGATGTAATGTTTCAAGCGTTTCTTTGCAAATTAAATTCCGCAATATTTACACACAAAGGAATCACAAATGCAATTTTTCCATTTAATTTTCTTTTTGTTTTATTCTGTATAAAATAAAACTCTTTTTTTCAAGCTAGTATATAAATATCTCTATAATAATAAAATTATATTTGTATACATATAAATTCGAGGATACTTTATATAACGTTATCAGAGACCAGAGATGATATAAGCTAACATAAGTAATAATACGCAGATGAAAGAATTAGTTTATACATTCATTGTGGATTGAACTCATACACTTTGGAGCGTTTAGAATACTGTTTCGCAAATACGGACCATCTTATTCACAATGGAGCATTATTGTAACTGTCATGATTGAGCACGCAACACATACATACATCTTGCAACATTACACTTATGATAGTTACGACACGCAAAGAAGCGCGCTTGCGCGATGCTTCCTGCGTATACCGGGGATGCCCTACATTTCTTAACTATACCGACCCGTCCACATTACATGTGCTACGATCAATGGTGGGAGAGTTTACGAATGGACGGAAGGAGATCGATGAGAGGAAGAAACGTATCTCTCTATTTGTATTATATATATATATAAATTATTATACACACATACACACACAATATAAAATTATAATATAATAGAGAGCAGTAACAATTTCTCGATATATTCTGAAGTTTTCAAAGCTACTTGGAGACAATGTAATTACAATCGAATTAGATATCATAATTATACGTATGTTACACGTGACTATGAATTATGTACACAAAGATATGATAAGATTTATTATTGAAATTTACAACAGCTAATTATCGATAGAATTCGATTTTCGACTTCGCAAAAAATCAAATCAATTAAAATTAATAAACAACGAGAGAGAAACAGGAACAAGAAAACCTAATATTATTGTAGTTGACTATCATTCATCGTAAAAGTGCAGAGTAAATTGAATTGGAATTAAAAATTAAGATCAATTGTTCTGAAAAGTTTGTCGATGGAATTCGCTGTCACCTTGTATAAGCAGGAAAGTTGCATTCCGCGTTTAGCAAGCGGGCCAAGAACAACACGGCGAAGAGTGACACAGAGCGCGTGTGCAATGACACAGATCCGCGTCTCCGAACCTCTTCCCTTTCTTCAATCTCCTCCTCGTCAATCTCTTTACAAACTAGGCCGGTGCATCTACGCGAGATAGAGGCCGCGTAAATTTGAAGCCCGTGGCTTCCTCAGAATTTTATCTCCACGAATTTTTCAATGATTTTTTCATCCCATTTTGTATTTCAACTCTACATTTTCACATGTAAGAGACTCGCTGCAGATTCGCAATGGTATTTGAATATAGAATATTTTTGAATCCGATTAAAATGAGCTCTTACATTGAAAGAGGCAGTTTGCGCTTCGACAGAACCTCGCTAGCTTACATTTTCAACGAATACAACTACTACAACTCTTAGTTTCGTAGAAGCATTCGAACGGGTTACGTCATCAAGCGTGAGAACCGTCCGTGATCCTTCTAGGACCCCAGAATAGGATCCCTTCCTCCTTACGGCAAGAGGGCCGGCCGATAGAAATCGGCTTCGTGGGTAGGCGGGTGCGAACCGTTCGAGGGGCGAGGGAGGAGCACGCAGAATGGTATTTCCGTTGCGTTGTATCGCTTGTCCATTTGGCAGGCTTCAGGTTTGGCCAGGAGCATGCGCACAACGTGCGTCCACCTACCCGCTCATCTACCTGCCTACTAATCCGTCTGCCTGTTTACCGGTTTGCCTTGATCCCCTGAATAATCAGTAGGTGGGTTGGTAAGTAAGTAGGTACGACTCTCTTACGTAAGCTTATACCGCCGCATATATGCCTGATCAGCAAGAATGAAAGACGAACAGAGAGAGAAAGAGAGAGAGAGAGAAATAGGAAGACATAGCAAGAGGACGAATGAGAATGAGTTTCTCAACGATCACTTTATAATCCAGGTATTAGTGCGATTAAAAATAATTTCCAAGGATATTTTCTCTCGAAGTAATATAAGAGATATTTTTACGGCAGTATAACATGCGTCTAAATAATTGTTAGCATCGATAAAAGATAAATTTATTTTCGGATGTTTTCGATAATAGCTGATATAAATCGAGCCAATCCACGTGTTAGATATCTTCAAATATATGTATATACCTATGTATTGGAATCCTATATTCCTAATGTGCAAAATTTATCTTTGTTTTTTTTTTATTCTTCATAAAAATTTTTTTTCACTATATAATTTTATCGCGCGTCTTTGCTACTTTTATGACAATAAATCATTTGTAAAGATTGAAAATTTGCTTCAACGTGTGTTAATCTCGCGTGTGTTAAGCCATTTTCTTCCTTTACATACGCATTTTCCGTATGCGACACCGTATGAAGAACCAGGATGTGGAAGAGACTTAATCGTTTCCACGTACGACAATCGGTAATTTTCCTACATCATACGCCACATGAATCGGCTCGCTCGCGTGTTCGTGATTTCCATGAAAAGAGAGAGAAAGAGAGAGAGAGAGAGAGAGCGAAACGTGAACGGCGGTGGCGGCGATATGCTTTTTCCCGCAGGAGCGAAGCTCGTTGTCCTTGAGATGTTCTCGGTTCTTCTCGTAGGCAGAAAGATCCGTTTCGCAGGGCGTGGTCTAGCGATGACCTCACGGCGGCCATCTTCGGTTGAGGAATCGTTTGGGAATGGTAGTAGGCAAGGATGAAATCCGGAGTGGGCTTTTCGGCGAAAAAGATGGATGTGAATACCGGTAAGTCCATTCGTGGGATGGAAATCGTTGAAAGACGGGATGCCATCTCCTCCGTCCTCGTAGGTTTTCACCGAGAATATCGGAAGACTCGATCTCTCCTCTCTTCTTCTCATCAAAAAAAAAAAGATACCTGAGATATACATACATCATAAATTATCAATAGTTATCCGCTCGTACAGTTCTTTCCCGTCAAAAGATAAAAAAACAAAGGAAATTCAGCGTAATTAGAGTCTGCTTCTTTTTTATCTTTCACGAGCGAAGAAAAATGTCGACGTAATATTGGCATTGACGAGCGCGAGGTTGCCGATGACTCGTCACGACTATGTTCGAAGACTGCCTAATAATTGACATGGCCGTCGATTACGTAACATACTCTAGTCTATGCATGTATACATATACGCGCGCGCTCTTATAGATTCTTTCTCTCTCCACACACACGCATACCTATATGTGTACATATATTCATACATCTTAGCGATAAGCGTGTCCAGTGCAAATCCAGGCAAATCGTTTATTACTCTAATCATTCAAGCTTAATTTTTTCCACCCATCTTACGTTCCATGATTTACAATACCTTTGCGCGCAATCGATATTTATCGTCAGTATTCCGACATATTAAATTACGGATTAAAACGGCTTTGTAATTTATTATCTATTCGAAGTAATATACATATATTAGATAGATGACAGAGAGAGAAAGAGAGAGAGAGAGAGAAAGAGAGGGAAAAAAGAGAAACGTGAGTATAGACCTTATATGTACTCTTTAAGAAAAGGTGCGCTGACTTCAGCTCAAGAAATAACCGCGCTGACTTCAGCGCTAGAGTTTCGTTCATAAACGACGCGTGCTTTCATTCGTCTTCGTTTCTTCAAGGCCTAGCTGCCCCCTTTCCTGATTCCCTTCTCCTCTACATCCCTTCCGCTCGGCAGATTCACTGCGACCGTGCTTATATCACGGAGATTCTGTCTCGTTTTATTATGTTTGCCATCGTTTTCTCTCTCTCTCTCTCTCTCGTCGCTTCCCCTTGCATCCTTTGTATATCCCCTCCTCCCTTCCTTCCTTCTATTCACTCCATCACCGTTCGTCTTTGCTCTTCTCTAGCATCATACGCCTGGCTCCACCCCCTCCTTTTTGCAATGATCCACGGTCTTTACCGCTGTCTCTTTGCCCCACGAGCCAACCGTTTCGCAATGATGTCATCTGCGCCATTGGCGTCGATCTCGCAGTATTTTCAAGAGGCTTTAATGACAGAATTAGAATCCGTAGTACAAACTTTAATAATTATCGATCTCTGATAGATTGTATTTTTCAATGGTATTAAATAAAAAAATTATATAATGTGTATAGAAAATAAAGCGTTGTATTTTATTGTATATTAGTATTTAAAGAGATGATTTTAAGATAATCACTATAAAAAAAAGGAAAGCGGTAAATGTTGCTGCAAAATACATAATTGAGATTAGCAAAATACACATATAATTTCGTGCTTAATTTTTTCATTTGTCGTCACGGCTATATGAAAACGTGATTCGTCTACTTTTTCGCGAAACTAAAGTATCTTTTTAAAATCCAGGTACGGCACATGATGCGGCAAGACGATGCGATATCGAGGCCAACGAGTAAAATTAGATAGCGAGGATGGAATCCGAGCGCCGGTATGCGAAATGGAAACGGAAACGGCTTCGGTCGCTTATACGAAAGATGGCCGCAATGCGATGCCGCGCAAGAAAATGGCGCTTTAGCATCCGTAAATGGTCGGTTGCGCATATCTCACGCTCCCTCGCGTGACAGAGCGAAATATTATAGCACGCGCTATATTTTTTTTTTCCTCTTTTATCGTCAAACAAATTAAAATCGGAATATAAATTCAAAATTCGTTGATATCCAAGGAATTTTATTCAACTTTTCCCTCATTAACGCGCGAATAGACACAATGCGGCCGACATGAGATTTCATAACGAGTTGTTAGATTATCGAAACTACAATCTGTCGATAATCCTTGCGCGCGAGTAAAAACGAAGCAGCACAAGGCAAACCGGTTCCATTTTTCTCTCCTCCGCGAAAGACACATGTACATACGCCTCACTCCTCTTCCGGCTATTTTTTCCTCGATAGCCATATTCCAAATTCTATCTCACCCGTTAAATTCTGCCAGATCAGCCATTTACGTTACGACACGCGCGTAAAAACGAAACGATAAAAGCTTCTTTGTGACTAACTTTCGAACAGATTTCGTCAATTATGTATTACGAGTAAATGGAGTTTAACCACATATACCCGTACATACAAATGGACACACGATTGCGTTGCATAACATATATTTAAATACTGGCCAAGGCATTACCACAAATACTATTTGCTTGAACGTAAAGCAACATGCGTGTGCGCGCGTGTGTAGTTGGCTATACACTGAGTTTTCCACAAATAACTTAAAAAGTATACTCCAGAAAATATTCAAGAAAAAGAAACGGTAAGGATATATGAACGATATTATTATATTTATTGTTTTATAATATTTATTAATTTCTTATTGATTTATAACGAAATGTCGTTCTTGATTACATTGTTGAGCAATTTAGAAAGTATTTATAGTTGTTACGATATATCTTATATATCGTCTATAATTGCTTATTTAGAAAGTGCGTTTAAAAATTTTTATAGCGACGCAGATAAACTTATATGATGATTTATGTTTAAATAATTGTCATCTGTTCTCGTGTGATTAACCATATCTAGCATTACTCATTACCGATTACTCATTATCAATCGTAAAATTATACTAAAAACAATGTATGAACAGGCTCGCAATATTAGTTAGTTAGTCGATGCTATAACTAAGATTTTATACATTATCGATTCTAAGTCTTGGCCTTATAGGTACGAAAAAAAAGATTAGCATGCCTTGTGTGAAAATACCAAGTTATAAATAAATATACGAGTTGCGGGCAATTAATATACATGCATGGATACAAATATTTTCGAATTAAATAAAAAAAATGTCTAATGAAATCACAGATTTTATTAAGAATGTAATTATGCAGAGCCGACTTTTGCAGTTTGTTTAAGTTATGAAATCTATTTAGTTTATAACATACAAAAAATAATAATTATATCAAAAAGAATATATAAAATTTTTATTTTTTTATATAATTTTTCTTGTGTGAAGTACAGATGAAGTACACATTATATGGAATACAATAATGATTATAAAAATAGAATAAATATGGTAGTATAACTTTTAAAACGTGCCCTAATTATAAATGAAGAGAGAATTACGCGAGCTTAAATAATGAAGAAAACAAATTTAACTTATAAATTAAATTAAGTATTCATTAAACTTATAAATACACCATGCATGTATTAAGAACGTAAAACAGGTAGCAAAAGAAAGGAAAATACTGATAATTCTTTTCAAGATTTCTTAATCACCGCGCGTAGCAATAAAAAAAAAAAAAAATGACATGCGGAGGCACGGAAAGATACGTGTCATAGAAAACGTCATGTCGATCCGGTTCGTTCTACGGCTGGTCGGGAAAAAAGAATTCGCGACGGCCGCGCGGTATTTGCTGAGAGTTACGAAAGTAAGCAGCTTTAGAAAGTATAGTGCGCGACAAGAGAGGTGAACGGCGGTTTAAGAGTCCGGCATCTCTAGCGCAATTACCGGGCCCAGCGGCGTATTTGGGCAACGCTGGAAATATAGGCATGTAGACAAGAATTTAAGTCACGTTTAATTTCAAACTTTTACCCGTTTGATATTCTCACATAATATCAAGACTTTACGACTTTAAGACTTTAATAATCAAGGATAATCAAGAGAAAAAAATTTCTGCTTGAAAAAAATTATGGTCATTTAAAATTAAAAAGTCATTATAATTAATATATGGAAAGAAAGAGATAGAAACAATAATAATGTGCAAGTATGTTATTATTGTTTCAAATTATTCCCCACGTGCATATATTTTGACAATCACATTGCAAGAAATAAATTTCGTAAATCCATGGATGAACAATATATCGTATAGTCGTATTAATTCTGGAACATTTTATATATGAATATAATAAAAGTTTCGCGCGCACATGCAAGCATCGAAATGGATCGTGTGCTCGCGTTAATTTAAATGTTAAAGAATTGAAGGATTCATGACGCGAGAATCACGATTCACATCAAATCGAAAGAGGAAGTATGTCGCCAAGAGAAGTCGGGAGAATCCATTGAAGTATGGCCGGTGCTCGCTCAGTGTTTTCCATGTTCCCAGAGCCTCTTAATATTATCTGTACAGCTGGGGGAACACGACTTCCACTGATGAGCCCATGCTATAATGTTGAATCGCGAATCCGAAAATTTGCGAAATTGCGGAGTCTGAGATTATGCCGGGATTAAGGAATTGGACAAGGATCAAAAACTCCAAAAGTGGAAAATAAGAGATACATGTTCGTAAATAAAGTTAATAACGAAGGCGAGAATTCAAAATCGTTTTAAAAATTAATGGTATGAAGAATTCAAGGATATGTTATATCGCGATGTATATTACATATTTAAGGACACAAGTAGATTATATGTACAGTAATATTAAGATCATGGAATAACTCATATGATCTTTTTTTGTATATAATCTATAAATTCAAAATCTCTAGAAGAGATTGTGAAAAGTGTACGAAATTTAGAAAATACTGGAAAGTCCACGATTCCTAAAATCCATGGATTATAAAAAACAACGGTATCTGAAATTAGGTTTTAATATGAAAGATCCCTGAATATCTCAAAAATTAAATACGTGAATCTCAAAGCCTTAATAAATCTTAAACGTAGTTAATGCACACGAATAATCGAGAACTATTTATTTACTCTCGAATTTCACGGAAATTCGACGATCTTGTATTCTTACCGCCGTTGTTTGCCATCTTTTCTTTCTCGACATAAAAAGATAGAAACGACAGCGAGGAGGATATTTAGGGGATCTTGATCCGGCTTTACCGCGCACATCCCAAAGAACGGCGGAAGCATTATTCTCAAGCGGAAAACGGGTGTTGAGTCGCGCTTTGTCGCAGGGCCGATAGGAGAGAGAAAAAGACTGACTGTCGTTTTGCATATAAGCCAAGCCAGTTTCTCACCCCCACTGACCCAGCGACCGAGAGACAGAGAGAGAGAGAGAGAGAAAGAGAGAGCCTGCGCTATTGTCGCGTAAGACGAGAGTGGCGGCTCTGGGGTGGTCCTTCCCGTCTCCGTTGCTTCCTGCTGCGCTCTCCGGTGCGTACCCGTCGTCGTCGGCCGTCGTAACAAACGTTAGATCACACACTGACTCGGTGAGCGAAGCCCGAGCCACGGAACAATCACGTGACAACGACGGTTGCGTCATACAGTTCGGCCCCTCTCGCTAAGCTTGCTCGAGCGGACCAACGAGTGAGAGAGGGCCGCCATCTTTCGCTGAATGAGTGAGAATATGCGAAAATGGAGAGAGAGAGAGAGAGAGAGAGAGAGAGAGAGAGAGAGAGAGAAAGGAAAAGAGAAAGAGAGAGATCGCGACACACGGCAGCATGGATCACCGATATTTTCTTTCATTTTTCTTGGTCTCTCTGTTATTCGTTGTTCTTTTTTTTGTCGTAAATATAGAAAATCGAGAATTATTGAAATTGAGACCCCGGCAAAATTCCGAATATATAATATAGTGGGTTAGTGAATCTTAATAAATGAATCATAGAAATGCGTATTAAAAGTTCATGGAATTTAAGCGATTTGCAAGACTAGAGAGATTTACGAAAAGTACGAAATTTAAAGCTTAAAAAAAGCGAGATTAAAACTTGAATAAAACGGTAATAACGGGAATAACGAAGGAGATATAACGATTCGTCATTAATAATTTGCATTTTCATCTTTCTCGCGACACAAGAATTCTACCAGGCGAAATGCGCACAAATATTGATTACGAAAATTTAAAATTTCAATCTCCACTCACACTACACAGGTTGTGATGATCGTCGGATGCATTCGATCGTACTAGGCGTGCGCGAGAGATACATAGAGAAAAAGAAAGAGAGAACGAGAGTCCAAAGACTGCGATAAATAGGTTAGACGGTCGCGGTCAATAGGTCGCGTACTTTTTTAAAATCCTGCTTTCATAGAAAGAGAGAGGGAAGAAGAGAGAGGGGGGGGGGAAGTGCGATGAGATCACTTTTCGATTACCGTCTGTTTCGCTGTATCTATCTCTCTAGAGGCAAAAATGATAAGAAAAGAAAAGACTCTCCTTTTCTTTTCTTATAATTTCTGTCTTTAGAGAGACATTTTTTTTTCGACGACACCTATGCTCGTCACGATACTCACACACAGGAAAAGAATTGAATCTGAAGAAATCGGTCGCGTGATCAGCACGATTCCGAGATCGAGACACGAAAATTCCGCTTCCGGTCACGCAGAATTCAATTGGCAATATTCCTCGCACAGACGCCGCCTTTCCGTTGATTTCTCTTCTTTTTAAATTACTCGCGTCTTTGGGACGCAGTACCACTTTTTCGGCTTCCCATTCCTTCTTTTACTTTTACTTAGATTTTTTTTTTTTTAATGAAATTGGAGTTGGTTCTCGTCGTGTGTGAGAAAATTTGATTATAACAGTACTCGATCTCTACAAATCTTGCTTACGATTAGAATGAAATGATAGATCATTCTAATCGTATACGTGCCCCGAGTTAACCTCGATAGATACCTTGAATAAATTCGATTTGCCTTCCTGGATCCTTCCATCAAAAGAGAATCTAGAGAATTCGTACCAATATCCGCGCAAGTTCTTTCTTCAGAAGAATTCAGATTCTAGAGGATATTCAAAAGAAAAACTGTAGATACTCTCTTCTGCCGATACTTCCTCGTCGCGAGAGAAGGTGATAGGCGGATCGACCGGGGTAGCACGCGACGGGCTTACCCGAGAGCGTTACATGGCGGACGAAACTAGTTTTAACGGACCGACGGAGAGAGAGCGGCGCGAAAACACAACCGTATCCGAGAGCGAGCTGCGACGAACGAGGGATGCGCTGAGACGCTTAGCCCGTACAGCACTTTCATCCTCCTCCCCACCAATCTCGCGGCATCGACAGGGCCACATCCGGCGATGACGATATGGCGCGCACTCGCGGGAGCACGGTCGCTCATCGCCATTGGTCGAGCGCCGTTGCTACTCGGGTCGCGATTGGCCGACACATGCACACACACAATCCGCGCGCCCGTAATGTCGCACACTTGGCGGCTCGCCCGCCTTCCCCCTCCCTCCCTCTCTCTCTCCCTCTCTCTTTTTCTTTCCCTTTTCCCTCTCTATTCGAACACGCCGTCGATGTCGCGCGCGCGCGCGCGCGCGCAATATCCTTTCTACCGTCTGGACGGCCTGTGCACGGGACGCCGTATATCGTAACGTTACGCGTGAAGATTCACTCTCGTCGGCGCGGTTCTATGACGACAACCGAACAGGAACTGCCAGCCGCACGCGCGAGAACCCGCTACTTATGCCCTGAGTGGGAAGAAACGGCGGAATCGAGCCGTGCGGTTTGTCTTTGGACCCGCAACTGCCGCGGGTCCAAAGAACCAATCGACGTGGCGCAGTTCGAGCTCGCAGATTGATTTGGCTGTATAAAGGATTTATATGTATCGCACCATTGCAATTTTAGATGATGCATTGTACGCAATTGTGTACGGAACTTTAAAGATAAATATACGCGCAATTCTTCAGCGCTCTTTGATAATAAAATATATGCGAAATTTATAATTCTCACAGTATATATGTGTTTATTGATGAAATATATCATAAACACAAAAGTTCCAGAGTTCAATATTGATGTTTTTCTGTTCAAATTCTCGTGATCGTGTGTGTCGCCATTTTCTTCAGAGCTGTATATTTCAAGTGGAAAAAATTTCCATGTGCCCCATTATATTCCCTTTCTATTTTCAAAATTACATATACGTCTTTCTTCAGATGAATTTATTAAAATTTATTAAAATTTATCCCGACATTAAACTGTTACTATAGCGGAAAGCAAGAAAAAAAGGTTCACGCCTACGAAATAATTCATAATTCATTTTTACAAATATGCTGTATTTTTTCACCTATACTCGAAACGAAAAAAAGATTTGGAAATTATTTCGGTGCAATTGTTGTTCTATTTTTTCTTTCCATGTTTCAAGTATTCTCGGTTCGCTGCAAAACGCTTGCTCTATCATTTACGGCGAAGGCGGCGGCCGAACCTTTGACCTATTTTTCTATCGATCTCGCCTGGTTTTGCATCTAGGGCGTCTCGACAGCCCCGGCCCCGGTCGTCGAGATTTCCGCCACTCCCCGACACGGAGGTCCTCGCGCTAACCTAGCATTCTGTTGTACACTCATGCTCTTAAGATATTTACATTTTACAAGACCGGTCAAAATAAAAAAATGATATACGTAGTACTTATCCATGAGAAAATTAACGAAAGAGATTTTTGCG